ACCAGTGCCAACATAGGCGAACATTGCTAGGGTGGTTCCCACCATTCACGGAGGACCTGGTGAGGAGCCTTCTCATCAAGCTAGCTTCAAATAACTTAAGTTAAGAGAGGTTAACTCGACGAATACCTCAAAGGAGTCTAGGGAGAAGGAGAAAGGATGTTCACTTTCATGGTCGACTACATATCATGTCGCCATGAAGTTCCCGACAAGTGATTATGCAGTGACAGTTAGAGGCAACTTGTTTCAATCAAGAGCTTGCTACCTCTAAACAATGGAGAATGTACACGAAGAAATTCTTCAACTCAAAGTGCAAAGCCTATCAATGTTGGAGACTGTGAAAGTCATCAAGAAAGTGCTGATTTCTGAAGAGAACTTCAGTATCTTCTTTGATGAAGAGCGAAGCACTGAGTTGATCTCAACAGTTAGGGTGAATGTGGAGGTATTCGTTTGATCAACCAACAAAATTTCGGGTGCAAATATCAATGTCGATTTTCAGATTAAATTTCTATAAGAAGGGAAGGCCAATAGTGTAGAAGTTTCGATCAGTGGTAACTATGCTGGCCGAGCCCATTCACAAAGAAGTCTAAAATCTATTGGAGGTCGGATTCATTCAGTAGATGCAATATTTATAACGGATCTCAAACTTAGTGATAATATAAAAATCAAATGGCAAATGACAACAAATGACAAATGTGTGTCGACTTCACCAACTTGAAGTCGAACTGTCCCAAAGGCAACTATATGTTGCCGCATATTGATGCTCTAGTCAACTCTGCAATTGGCTACCCAGTAATAAGTTTTTGTGCAACTTCTCAGGATATCATCAAATCAACACACATCCAACTACTGCAAGAAAAAAGCATTCATCACAAGTGAAAGATTGTATTGTTATAATATAATGTCCTTCGATTTAAAAAATGTAGGTGCTACATATATTGATGATCTCCTAAGTCCTAACAAAAAGCAAAACTTCAAAACAACACATGGAAGATCTCAAAGAAACTTTTTCTGCTCTAAAAAAGTACAACATAAAACTAAACCCTTTTAAGTACACCTTTCAAGCGGGAAAAGGCAAATTCATGGGGTTTATAATAAGTTCAAAATATTAAAATGAATTTGGAGAAAGTTAGAGCAATTTTCGAAATGCTCTCAACTAGAAACGCAAAGGAGTTGCAGAGGTTGATAGGGAAAATTTGCTAGCCTAAGTCGATTCATATTAAAGTCAATGTAAAGTGCTCACCATTATTCAAAATTCTAAAAAGTGTTAAGCACTTTGCCTAGAATGAAGAATGTAAACTCATCTTTCAACAACTAAAATCACTCCTCTTCACCACCTCTAATTCAAAATTAACATATAGAGGGAGGACTTGGTCTTATATATCGAAGTCAGTGAAGAGGCGATCAGCTCAATCCTTTTTCATGAAGTGATGAAGAAATGGTCGATTTATTACAACAACAACATCAAGCTTTTCTCCATTATGCCCTATTAAAAGTCAAATTCTCATTTAAATCTAATAAAGAAAGATCATTTCTAATATTTTCTAATCAGGTCTTTTTAGGTCTACCTCTACCTTTCTTAACATAAGTCAAATGGTCAATTTATTATGTGAGCAAAATTTTACGTAGGGTTGAGTTGCATCATACAAGCTTGTCTTATATTTTGATTATCTCGGCGCAGCAATTTTGTCCTTACTTTCAAGCACACTTGATTTATGTTGTAATCGACCATCTATTGAAGTCAAGCTTAGCAAACCCAATCTTGGTGATTAAAATGAGTGTGGAGCTCAATGAGGTCCAAATTTCATACATGTCAAATACAAAATGATTGGAGGAATTTAGGAGGTGATATGACTGATCATGTTTATCTCAATATTGGGTCGTGCTATTCTAACAATTATCAGAGCAAATATCTCTTCAAGAATTTAAGTCAATTGTGGAAGCTTTCATGACACATCCTATCAACTAGTGTTACACAAAATCTAAAGTACACGACATACCCTCTCCACTAAGGTATTTGGGAGAGCATGAAGAAGTTCTCATTATTTAAAATCTTTCTAGAGATAGCAATTGCATGATTTTAACATTGGTGGAAGTACACAAAAACAAAGAATAAATGTGTTTGAATCTTCTCTATCTGGCCAACAACCTGTATTTGATTTAAAAATAAATTTGTCTACAATTCATGCACTTGTTTCAAAAACTTTCGAATAAAGATTCCTTTTATAGAACTGATATCGTTTCAAGAGGCTCTACAACTAAGCTCTTCTATGGATGTATTTGATGAGGACATCGTCAGCATTTTCGACACATGTACCTTTATGAGACACCGGAGATCGACGGCCATGAGCATGAGTTGTATTTTGTCATTTTATATAGTAGTTTATTTTATTTTGATGTTTTTCCGTTTTTGCCCTTATGGACATTGAGTCGCTTATGTAGCCCAAAAGGGCATTTGTGTCATTTCTTGTTATTTCATTTTGGTCTATTTATATGAGGCCTCATGCATTGTAATTTCAGTTTTGGATGAATGAAAAATTTGACATTTCTTGTTCTCTTTGTGAGTGCAAACCTCCACGATCTCTTAGTGGGTTCGTAGGAGAAGCTACATCTCTTTGTGAGTTCTAGGTTCTTTCTTACTCTACTATTTTCCTTTATTTCTCTTGATCACTTCGTCGTCGTGGAGATTCGGGTTGAAGCATTTGTGGAAAATTGGAATTCCCTCTTTGAATCTGTAAATTTTCCCTACCTCTTCCCCTCCCTCGCTCATTGCCGCCGCCCCCCATCTGGCCGCCAACTGCCCGCCGGCTGCATCCCACCTCCGGCCAAGAGGCCCGGCCGCCCATCCTTAGCAGCCATCCAGGCTTGCCGCCGGCCCCCTCCCATGGTTCCAGGATTCAAATATCAAATTCTCCTTGAATCCTTTACTACTTTCCTAAATGAAATATTTTCTGAAGTTTTTTTTTTCCCTCTCCCACCCGAGCACCTCTTTGGGAATTGGCTTGCTTTCTCCACCCAAGTCCTTCCTCCCAATTCAGGAATCTGACACTATTTCAGATTTGATAATCCTTACTTCCCCTCTTGGCCTCTCCACCCTAGCCGACCACCTCCTATCTTCTCTCGGATGCTCCATCAACTCCCGACAATAATGCATGGCGGAACCCGAATGGAACTTTGGGTTTGTGCATGACGATCAAGATCAAGTTGAAATCCTCCAATCACCGTTCTTTATCGTGGGCTTCGATTTCGACGACACTATTGAAGATTACATCGACCGTATCCATTACACCTTAGTGGATGTGATATACGAGCAAAGATCAAAGGGACGTTGGATCATCCTTGGACGACCGCCATCCTCCACCACTCCGGCCACCTATCCAAGAACGACAATCTTAGGCTCCTTCTTCCTCGGAGTGACCTCAGTTCTAATGTGGAGACTCTTGTTCCGCTAAAGCCTAGACTAGTTGAGCGTATGAGCTCCAAACGTGAAAGTTCTCATTATTAAATCGCGGATTCTTGTTTAGCGTCGTAGTTTTACAATTGATCTTGGCATTTTCTTAAATTGTTTGGTTAACCGACTTCGCTCTTCTTTGCCTAAGCAAGTTAAAAACTAAAAATTCTCAGGATCAATCATTGTTATAAGTAATAAATTTATTTTGGGATTATTTTGTTTAATCTGCTCTCTTTAATTTCCTTAAAGTAACTCCTAAACCGGATTGTTTCACATCAGTATTACACATGATGTTCTTCGCCCATTTTTTCACTTTATGGCCCTTTCATATCGTCTAACTCGAGATGAATTTCCCTTCATCTCTTTTCTGGGACAAACTGTCCGAATAAACTTTTCTTCCATTGTAGCATAAGGCTTTCCAATTCTTTCTCCAACAACATTCAGATTCTCCACAGTAATGTTCTTTGCACCTCAAAGAATTGATATAGGACAAACATGAATTGTGTTATTTCATAGTATTTTTGTCCATATAATTGCATTGATTTTCTTAATTCATAACCAGCCTTCATCTTTTAATTAAATTTTCATGTGCAAAATTGGCATGTGTTTGTTTAGAGATACAACAACAACAACAACAACATCAAGCCTTTATCTCCCTACATGGGATCGGCTACATGAATCCTTTTTCTCCATTGTGTCCTGTTAAAAGTCAAATTCTCGTTTAAATCTAATAAAAAAAGGTCATTCCTAATATTTTCTAACCAAGTCTTTTTAGGTCTACCCATACCTTTCTTAACACAAGCCAATCTAATATCTCTACTCTCCTAACCGGGTCATCGAAAGGCCGCCTTTTTATGTGACCAAATCATCTAAGGCGACTTACTCTAATCTTATCTTCTACTGGAGCTACTCCAACCTTGTTTAGAGATGAAGTTTGTTTATTGAATCTTATCTTATAGGATCTTCTATTATAAATAGAGACATAAGGGATAATGCAATGAGAAAATGATGGAAATTACTCTCCAGAATATCTAAGGGAACCTAGATTTTTCTTATTCTCGAATTTGGTCCATCAACTTATCAACAAAGGTAATGTTTAGGGGTCAAATAGTCATTTTCAAGGACCAAAAGTGCCATTTTTTAAGATATTAATAGAACAAAATGGAAAATAACAGAAGTTTGAGATCAAAATGAGCCCATCCTAGAAGTCCGGGTCTAATTTTGTTGTTTTCTTGATATGTAATGGTTAGTACTTAATACTCTACATTGTTCGTTTCTCTCTCCTAGGTTATGTACTGAGACCCTTGTTCTTCCCTCTTCCCTTCACTTCCCACTTTCTCCCTCAACTTCTTTAAAGCTTCCTCAAATCATCTATTTGAGACTACACAAGGATGGCATAAGAAAAGCTTATCATTATTGTTCATAGACTCACTAAATAAGAACTTATCCAAAAGGAAGTAGATAAATTCTGAAATCCAAACAATTAAGTCATAACTACTCTTGAGCCTACTGGTTGGAGAGCAGACAATCTGCAAAGAAACTGAGCACATACCTCCTCGCAAGATGAAAAAACATAATCAAGGAAGAGCAGTAGGAAAAGGATAGAATGCGGTGCCGCAAGCTATCCACTGCTTCCTCTTGTTAATAGGAAGAGTGCAGTCTGGAACCTTCTCCCATTTCTTTTTGAACAAATCATATGTGATGAAACGATTAGACCTTATTGATCTCAACGACAGCATGAGCATCCCCTGATTTCCCATGCAACTCATCTTTACGGGCTTTCCATAATACTCTAAGCACGAGACATTTGGCATTCTGTCAACCTCCTTCCACAAAAGAGTCATCTTCTGCAACTCCCATATGCAAACACATGTCGCTGCATTTTTTGAGAGCAGTCCAACAAGCATGACCTTTCCACCACACTCTGCAATTGTATGGTCCGATATATGCAAAGGCAATGGTATAATGAACTGTTTCCAAATGCCTGTGGAGACATCATATCTCAAAATTCCATCGGGGTTAGCTCGAATAAAGTAGATTGTGCTACCAATACAAACTGTTTGTGCTTTGAAATTTATGGAGAGTGGGAGCTTGACACTTTGAGGCAAAGATCCTCGACGAGACCAACTGTTTTGCACAGAATCATAGATCTCATAATCTCCATTGCATCCCAGCCAGACTACCTTGTAACTTCTATTAGTTGCATTGTCTGTCAAAACCATTCCTACAACCACACGGGAACAAAAGCGAGCAGAACTTGGTGGAAGTTCTTTGAACGCCTTAATGAGAGGGTTGCATATATAGAAGTGCCTGGTGTTGAGATCCAACAGGCAAACAAGACCACCAGCTGAAGCCACTGACAGAAACATCTTCGGATAAACTCCAGGGATGGATAGGTGGTGCCATTTTTTTAAAGAAGGGTCATAAATGGCTCCACCAACTTTATCAAAACCAAACCCGTCATGAACAATGGTATAGAACCACGGATTCATTAGCTGAACTTCCGAAAAGTGCCGTGAGAAACTATTAGAGGTCAGCAAGGAATTCCACTTTTGGCATACTATGCGGAAACGAAACAAAGTGGCTATTGGAAGTCGTGCAATCACAGCTTCATGAAGATCTTCAGGGAGTTCCTTCCATATTTCTTGTTCCATTGTACCGATTAAATTTGGAATAGTAAACAATATTCTGCAACTCTTTTCACTCCGTGATCTTTTGTTTGGACTCATATTGGCTTCCAACATATTAACAATTTCAGATTTCTCTTCTAAATCCAAACAACAATAATCATCCTCAATTGAACTACCATCAAAATCAAATGAACACCACCTGCACAGAAAAAAGGTGTCATTAAAATCTACCAATTACCACTTTCTTCCTCGGGCCACAAAAAAAAAAACACTGCAATAAGACAAAAGAAAACAAGGTGAGCATTTTGACTAACAAATCAGAAACATACGCGAAGAAAAGAAGTGATGTTTGAATAACACTTTCAAGGCATACATACAGGACTCGTCCTTTATCTAAAGAAACAAATAGATAAAAACTAAAAAGCAGGGCTCCAAATTTGACTCCAAAGTTGAAGGTCGATAAATAATCAGTTCACTTTTTGGTTGGAAGTAAAATAAAACTAGCCAAATAACAAGTCAAGCTCAAATCAAGTCGAATTTCAATTGAGCCAAAAATCAAGCTAGCTCGATATCAGATCACAATGTGTCTATATTCATATTGATATATATTAATAATAATAATAATAATAATAACACAATGGTTAGATAACTACTTCAAACCACCTGCGTACATATCAGTGATCAAACAACATGTAGTTCCAAGAAAAAAGCAATTATAATTTTAAGCTATAATTTATGGCCAAACATAAAATTAAAAAAGTCTATAAACAACACGCACTAAGTTATAAGCCAGCAAAACGTCCAACAAAGCATATCCCAGCACAAATTCATCAATCATGAAAAAAAAAACAATTAAGGAAAATCTATAATTATTGCAACTAAAATCAAGACCAAAGTTATAAAATAAGTGTTAGAGGAGTCAAACCATAAATGATTAATTTATGTGAACTCGATATACTGATCTATGTTCAGCATGATTCAAACCCTCTGTTATGAATTGATGTTATGAATAATTTCTTCAGCTAGAAGAATGTTGTCTTAGATGTTATTCTTCAGCAAAACCACTTTGATTTGAGGAGATAATTTTATCCAATAATTTGCTGATCCTTCTAGCAAAGACTCCCATAGGTAGAAAGTCATTCCATTTATGAGATTTTTTTTTTTTTGTGGGTAAAATGCAACAGATGTGGAGGGAAAACATTTAGGAATGAAGGCCCCATAAAAGAATTCAATAAGAGCATTGAAAAAATCCATTTTAATAAGAGTAAAAGCTCAAACATCCAATTTAGTCCCAACTAGAGAAGCATAATATTAAGTTAAGTGTTGCAGAGATGAGAATGCTCAGGTGGATGAGTGGCTTTACTTGTAGAGACAGGATACGAAATGAGCATATACATGAAAAGGTTGGAGTAGCTCCAGTGGAAGATAAGATTAGAGAGAGTCGCCTTAGATGGTTTGATCACATAAAACAACGGCCTTCAGATGACCCAGTTACAAAAGTAAATGTATTAGATTTGACTTATGTTAAGAAGCATAGAGATAGACCAAAAAACACTTGGCTAGAAAATATTAGAAATGGCCTTTCTTTATTAGATTTAAATGAGAATTTAACTTTTAACAGTGCACAATGGAGAAAACATATTCATGTAGCCGGCCCCATATAGTGTGGGATAAAGGCTTGATGTTGTTGTTGTTGTTGTAGTATTAATAAATACCCAATTTAGTCTCAGAGTTTCGCATTGCCCCATTTTAGTCCCTCAACTTTAAAATTGTCAAATTTAGTCTCTCAATTAGATTTTCCACTTAAATTAACAGAAGAAGCCGTAAGCATTCGGTTCTTTTGTGGGTATTTTAGGAAAAAAACTTCTTGCCCAATCCCTCACCTTACCTCTATAATCCCCTGGAGACGAAATTGGAGACCGAATGGTGCTGTTGCAAGCGACCACGATTCTCCAAGCTTAGACGCGTTGCGAGCGATATGTAAGAAACCACGAGCGAGACGACACGCTACAATCAAGAAGCAAGAGGACCCGAGTGAGATGCGAGAGGCCACAAGCGAGATGTACATTGGGAGGCAACGTGTTGCTGTGAACAACCACGATGCACTTTGACATCTAGAGATGAAGACGGCAAGTAATGTACGAAATCCATAAGGAGACGGAGACGGTTAATGTTAGGTTTGTTTATCTGTCTAATATCCTTTGTTAGTTTGTTCATATGATTTTGATTTTTTTGTTCTTAGGAATCATTTGTTCAGCAAGATTAAAACAAAGTATAATTTTAGAAACTATTTGTTAGCATTGATTGAAGAAGAAACTAGTAGGAAAGAATTAGGGAAAGAAGCCGGAAAGACTACTCAAGTTGCTTTTAAATGAATATAAAAGATTTTTTCTAGACTGTAGATATTAATTTTGATAGAATTCTGATAGAATTCAGATAACATCAATATCATGTATGTGATATCTAAAAATATCATAAAATAAGTCATTCAAGTTGCTAATACTCTTCTTTTTACTTTTATTTATTAGGTCCATCCCAATTCGGAGAGAATCGGGAAAACACAATTGAACCACCGATTCCTTCTAATAATGTTATGGAATCATCTAGTATTTATTATGCATTCTACTTTTTTTTGGTCGTTGAAGGTTATTTTAATTTTGATTGATTTTTTTCGTGCAAAACATTCGAAATCATTAAGGGTGATCAACGACAAGTGTCATCAACTATCAATGTGAATGTTTTTTTAGTGAGTTTTTCATTGATTTTCTCCATTGATAAGCATGAACATTAATTTATATGTGAGTTTATTTATGATTGTATTGTTCAATATGTGTATATATTTTAGCAGTCAACAGGGAATGGTGGACTATGTGCATTAGTTTTTGAGTGGCAAGATGGCTCCAATTTCTTACAACTTTTTAGTGATTTGTCCCAACCAACCGCGCTGTTAATTTGTCATATGTTGATGATAAGGATGTAGTGGCACCTAACAGGAGTAGCTATCATGATGATGAGATGTATGAAGATGAGGGCGAGGACTATAACTTAATAGATGACAATGAGCAATTTGATGACAGTGATTATAAGATGTGTGAGGATGATGAGCCATTTGAAAATAAGGTGGATGCTTCTATTAGATATGTAAGCACCACAAAGATGGGAAAAAATTTGAGTTCAAAATATAAATTTAAATAAAAATTTGAAAACTATGAAATTGAATGTATGGATTCCAACGATAACGCTAGTGTTCACAATGGTGACAAAAATGATAGCGCAAGATGGTCAGTTTTCAATCCAATATTTGATTGATTATGAGAAGCAAAATTTTGAAGTGAGAATATTATTCAATGGCAAGAAAGAATTTAAAGAGGTTGTTTAGAACTGGTAAATTGTTCATAGAAAAGAAATAAAGTTCTCAAAAAATGACAAGATGGTGCAAAGTTAGTTACGGGAGGCCTAACTGTCCTTTTCTCCTCTACATCTCAAAGCACGAAGGAAGTTATTCATAGCACGCTAGGTCGTTGGAGGAGCAAGCATGTTCATGGAACTATCATAATAAGACTTTAGCATCAACAATTATAGCTTGTGAAGAAAGTTAGAATTAATCCACATTGCCTGACAAATTTTTTTCCAAGAGAAATTATTGATGAATTAAAGTTGCAAGTGTTACAGTCACAGGCAAGGAAGCCCATGTGCAAGGCTCAAAATTTGGTGCATATGAAGGATGAAGATCAGTTCAAAAAGATTTGGGATTACTGTTTGGAAATCATAAGAACAAATCCAGGCACCACAATATATTTTAACAACAAGAAAAGCTGACCTACAAGGTCAAAAAAATATTTATGAGAATGCATGTTTGTTTTAACGCTTGTAAAAGGGGTTTCCTTAGTGTTGCAAGCTAATTATTGGAGTTGACGGATGCTTCTTTTAAAGAGTCAACTACTAACGACTGTTAGTTTGGATGGGAACAATAACTTTTTTCCCATAGCATGGGCAGTTGTTGAAAGTGAATAAAAAAGTAGTTGAAATGGTTCTTGGAATTTTTGGCAATAGATTTACACTATCGAAAACCAAACGAAATTTACATTCATATCGGATAAACAGGAAGGCTTAGCTCCTGCATTTGAAAAAAATTTGCTAAATGTTACAAATAGGTTTTTTGTACGTCATATGCACCAACATTTAAAATACTTTATGGGCAGCTGCTAGTAGTACGACAGTTAATCAATTTACATATAACATGGATGAGTTGGAAAAACTGGATATAAATGCTCATAAATGGTTTATTGAGAAGCACCCAAGAGAATGGTCACGATCACATGTTACATGCATCTCAAAGTATTCCACATTACTTAATATTATGTGTGAACGTTTCAATGCAATTATTCTTTGATCCAATCAGCATATCTAGGTCAATATTGTAGCTCGTAGACAAGATCCATGTTGAATGGGTGCACACAATGATCATCAAACAAAGGGCTAGTAGAAAGGTAGCGACCAAAATTTAATAAACACTTGTGCAATTAAATTTTATAACTACTAATTTGGTAGTATTTTTGTTATTAGGTCTATACATCCAAAAGAAAGAAGATCGGGTGGATAAAGCTTGGAGGATAACATACTTATAAGTTATATATTTGACTTTTTTATGAAAATATGTTATATTAATTATTTTGTGCATAGAAAAAACTAAAAAATGACAGAAATTCTAAGGAGACTGTAGTGCCACGGCGTTCGATGAAACAACGTCCCAGCGCCACCTTCAATACTGCTGAAGTGTCACAAATTATATATATATATAATATTTATAATATTACTTTTTATAATATTTAGAAACTTATTTAATAAAAAACCCCACTGGCCCGCCGCATGCACTATGCCCTAAATCTTCTCATATTCCTCTTCGGCTCTCATCTATAGAGCCGTAGCCCGCATTTGCTCGGTTTGTCCTCCAGAGTCGCGATTTCTTCTTCCAGATTTGTGAGCCATGACTTCGTCTTCCACTGTGACTCCGACGAGGCTTCGACAAGGCTTCCTTCGAGGGTTCACAGCTTCACGCTTGTGTTCGCGGGTACACGCCTGTGTTCACGGCTACACGCCTGTCTTCACGGTTGCACCATTGCAGGACCAGGTATACTCCTTTTTAACTTTTTAAGATGACTTGTTACAATAACAAAAAAAATACACAAAGATTGAAGAAGATAAGTAATAGCATATGTATAATGCTGAAGCTAATAGGCATGACTAAGATGAGGTAAGAAGCGGGGCCGAAATGTGAGAGATCAATAGGCTGCAGGCACTTCCCTCCTCTTTTTCAATTAGTATCTTTATAATCAGCTTATATATTTTGTTGAATATAAATGTGAAAGTAAATTCCTAGTCTTCTTTAAAGTTTAAACGATTAAAAGATCGTCAAGCTGATGCCTAGATCATTATGTATTGTGTCATTGTGTGCTTATGGCTCAGTATCTGAACAAGTAAATATGAAATAATGAAAGGTAGACAAGTAAATATGAAATAATGAAAGGTATTGTGGTCTGTTAGGTGAGTTTCAATGCTGGTCACATTCGCATGCCATTTTAAATAATTAATATTTATTTCAGCTTCTTAAGGTTTTTAGATTCATTTTAACGATAGAATAAATTATTCTTTGTAATAATGTTTAGGCTTAATTTGAAGTTGAATTAGATTTGTTTGATCTTTTTGGTAATCATATTTCTGTTAATATGGATAATTAGCTTGTATTTCTTCTCAAAATTTATTGGAACATGTTCATGTATAATTGTGAGCGCGTAAAGGATTTTATTATATTGTAATCCTTCTCAAAATTTATTAAAGTGTTTTAATTTAATTGTGCTGATGGTTGAGATCTAACATTTATATATTATTAATGTTTGAATATTATTGTATTTATTATAATCTTGGCAATGTTTTTTTTTAGAATGTCAACACCAGTAAATATGAAAGGGGATAATATTAAGCATGTAAATACTGAGACTTGAAGACTTGATGATCATCTTCACTCTTATATTGGTAGTCAACCTGTGAATGAGAATAATACACATAATGATAATATTGAGATTTATGAAGAGGTTAAAAGGTGGACTAATGAAAATGAAGTGAATGATGTTGAAGAAGCTGATGATATTATAAGAAGAAATAAAAGTAAAAAATGAACCAAAGTTTGAGATGAGTTTAGGTTATTCCTGGGCAAAGAAAGGGAGAGTGTGTGCATGGTAAAAAAGTAACTACTTGAAGGAATTACTGGTGCAACTACTCAATTTAAAAGACATTTGAACCGTTGTGCTGCTAGGATTCGTGCCTATATGTTTCATACAAAACAAGAACAAGACCTATAAAATCAATTTTAGACAACTACTTGTAAGATGGCTTAGAACTTTGTAGTAGTGAAGGGCAAAAGTTTGATGTGATTGCATGGTGGAAAAATAATCAAGCCAAATATCGCATAATGTCGAGAATGGCTGTTGATATTTTATATATCCCTATTAGTACAGTAGCTTCAGATTCCACTTTCAATACTGGGGAAAGAGTGATTGATACATATCAATCAAAATTAGGGGTCGACACTATGTAAGCTATTCTATGTGGCTCCAACTGGGTTCGCTTCCATTATGGCCTGAATGATAATGGTACGTACAAGATACAACGCATTTGTTTGTTATCCCAAACACTTACATAACCACATTAGATTATCTTTGCTTTTGTAGGAGGAAGAAGATGATGAAGAGGTGGAGATTGTCTTACCGATTATATGAGAAAATCTAAGGTCAAAAATATATTTTACTTTGTAGTCATTGTAATCTGATTGTCATCTTTAATTGATATTTTGGTGTATAGTATTGGTGTGAAGTTTCATTTTATTCCATTGAGGTTGACTGTCATCATCACATTATATGCACACCATGAAAATATAATGTAATAGTTTTGTGCAGGAAACTAGAAGCTTTCTGAAAACAAATTTGCACGTTCAAATTTTGCTTGTTGCTACCATGTAACAAAAATATTGCTAGTTGCTAGTTGCAACCATGATATAGAATAAAAACAGCAGCTTTCAAAAAAAAAATGTTTTGAAATTGAACTGAATTCATGGTTTATCTATTGCTAGTTGCTACCATAAAACTAGAATTTCCATTTGTTAACAAATCAGAGAATAATTTTCAAGCATTGCAAAAACAATATTCCCATTTTCTAGTTGTCGGGTTACTTGGCCACATTGCGTATCATAGCTATCACAAGAGCAATCCCTCTCAAGCTCTTGAACCGATCATATGCTCCCAGCTTTTTCATGCCTAATGAGGATCTATCTATTTGTCCTTCGCCTTCTGCTGCTTTCAGGGGAAGGATTGGTCACAATCTGCTGAAGAGAAAAAATTTTCCAATGATAGGATCAAGGTATATTAATATTTAATATGAGGCATCAAGTTTGAGATCTATAGAATATGTAAATTACATGTTAGACAGTTGCTATGTTGCTATTATTTTAAAATAATTATTATTTAGCTTTTCTCTTAGTTTTTCAGGTTTGCATCATATTAATTGGTAATAGAGAGTAGAGATGGAAGAGTTTGAAGAATATGGAATATCAGACAGACATGGAATAAATAATTGTCTTTTGTTGTGTTTTTTACTTATGCTCTATCATGAAACTTCCTAATGGATTGTATAATTTTAATTACTTTTTTTTAATGATGTGATGATATACAATTTGGTCTAACATTGATATGAATGCTTTATTTTTATATTAATCAAATTTTTATTGTACTTAATTGCATAAAAGTTGCACTTGATATTGATCAAATTTAAAAAAAAAAAAAATTTAAAGGAAGATGATTGCTCACTATATATTGATTTCTTCTAGAACTAAATTTCAAAAAAAAAAAAATGATTTACATTTAAAGAGTCAAGCCAATTAAACGAGCCGCGTTCGAGCTTTTCAAACGAGCTCGAGCTTTTCAAATGACTGGAGCTCGAGCTTGGTATTTTCTAAAAGAGTCGAGCTCAAGCCCACTAATCGAGCTCGAACTCGAGCTCTAATTAGGGTTACACGAGCCAGGCTTAATAAGGCAGTTACTAGACTCGACTCGTTTACACCCCTAGGCGTCGCAGAGCTCGAATGTCAACAGCGTTGCGGTGTTGCAGTTGTAACTTTCAAGGGCCACATTCTCTCAGTGAAGAGACTCAACTATTCGCTTAAGTACCCGATCCATGTCAACAAGCACCACGGCGGTGAAAAAGTTTCAGCGACAGGCGTTAATTCACTTTAATTAATGGAGCCACAACGCCACTATTTTAAGCGCTGCAATGTCAGATGTCTTTTTGTGTTGTCCTATAAATAGTTGTGATGTTATGTTTGTAAGGGAGTTCAATCACTTCAGTAAAATTCGATATTTCTTTTTAGAGTACTTCTTAAGTTCCCTTTTAAAGTAAAATCTAAAGGAAGTTAAGGAAGTACAATATAAAATCATATATTTTTATTAGATTTATAATCTAATTGCTATTTCAATAATGCTAAATGCAACACTCAACATTCTTGAGATTCAATGAAGTTTTCAATATGAAGGAATCAAATTTTGCACCAAAATCCTATGTTAAAAGCGCGTTAAAATTAATGTTAGTGTGATTTATAGCATCTTGCTCCTAATAAGACTTTTCTCCTCCCAACCCTTTACCTTTTTCTATACTTACTGTAATTCCAATCTCAAAAAATTTTCATAAATAGTTGTGATCTTTTTATTGACAGATGCAATCTGACTTTGAAAATCAGCCAACTTTTCCTCAAAATCTACTTTGAGTTGCCCAAATTCTCCCTCCAAAACTTTCAAATTCCTTCCAGCTATTGGTTCCCCTTCGATCGACGTACTCTGATACCAATTTGATAGGAAACACTTATAGATCTCAAGTATCTCCTATCAATCTTCGAAAACCAACAAGTTTTCTCCACCAAAATCCACACAAAAGCATGAAAACATTAGAAAAATTTGTATAATTTGATGAAATAGAAACGGAAAATAGCAAGATACAGTTGATCCTCAATTCGAGAGGAGGATCGATCTCTCCCAAACCTCTAGACGCCGCTAGAGCCCAAAAGAAAACCTAAATCTAAGATATCTCAAATTTCAGCCAAATTCAAGATGTCCTAACCCTAGGAAAACAAACTATTTAATGCATACAAATCAAAAAAAAAAATCCCTAAACAGTCCCTACATTCAAATTTCTCTCCCAAACCCCTCAAAAATCCTTCCTAAATGCTCGTTTGGCACTTGCGGCGAGATTGGCTGCCGAAAGAGGCGGACGTTCCGCCTCTATTCCTCCTGGGCCGGTCCCGCGTGGACCGGTTGGACCACTCCAATGGATCGGTCTAACACAATCCAATCTAGGTTTAGGCCGATCCATGCCAACACAATTCAAAGTTAAGGCCAAATTATGCTCATTATGCTCCATGGATCTACATGAAACCATATTTCAGGCAACATAGATAAAGATAGATAAAAAATCTATATAAAGACTATAAGTAGATTACAAGCATCAAGGTTACATCACCCCAAAATCCTGAAATGCAAAGTCAACTTTCCTTGGATAATGTTTGACCGGCCATGTCTTCCTTGTAGGAAGGGGCCAACAAAATGCATCACAATGATTTAGATGAATGGATTTAAGAACTACAGATAAATTGAAAGTATGAATCAGAACATCCTATAAAATAAGAATTTTGCATTATGTGAATTCAAATTTGTACCATAGATTTAAAGTATCTCTTGGTTCTATCAACTCAATAAAATAAAATAAAAAACACAACAGAGTGTTATGTCATTTGAGGAAGGAAAATGGTAAGTTTTTTTTGTAAAGGACAATACAATGACAACCAAATAATGAGGATAATTAACAAAGGAAACAAAGATATGAGCCAGAATAAGTAATCAAATGCAACAGCAGAAACCAAGTGGCAAACACATTTGATGGAAACACAAATTACTTCAATTTCATCAACAATGAACTTCTAACCAGCCATCTAAGAGAACAATTTAAAATACCAATACCATACTCTCCATGAAATCAAAGTAGAAGCCATATCTAGAAACTTACCTCTCTTCGCAGAAGCATATAAATAATAATGTCAATAAAGCGGCGGCGCATCTTGTGCAATAAACGTAAAGCAAACTAAAATCAACCGAGGATATGCCGGAAATCAAAACCAGAACGCCGAACGAAACCACTAGATACTCCACAAAGACCACAAGATTCCTACCATCGAAGAAAAACTTCAACATAAATAATTGCAGCATCAAAAGTAACAGCTGAACAAGAATCTAGGCATGCAATTGAAATTAGGGCTTATCTGATTGCTTTCTAACTAACATGTTCTGGAAAAATAATGATATCATTTTTTGGCTTATTTGTGTGAAAATGAAATCAATCCATCTAAGTGACTTTGACAAGGCGTATTAAATTCGAAACCATTATTTGATTTCTAACTACATCCACCAAAATGGACAACACAAATTTCACCATTTTTCTAAACATATTTTCTAACTCAAAGAACCCAATTAGCGCTCCATATCTCAAATGTCAATCCCCTAAAGGCAGGAAAAAGAATAAAAATTCATAATACCACTCTATCTATCCGAAATTATCAGTGCAACAGTCAAAAAAACAAAATTCAGAAACCTTTCACTACCCAAAGCAATCTTCAAAACAAAACAAAACCCTAAACAAGAAAGCACGGGGGCAAATAAGTAGATAGATGAAGAGAGATTGCCTTCGCTCATAGAAGTCGCGGAACGCCTGAATTTCACCGACGAGCTGCCGGAGCACCGCTACCCTCTCCATCACCAACCGACGAGCTCCACCTTCCACCTCTCTCCTCAGCTTCTCTATATCTCACCTCCATCCCAATTAACCCCCAAACACAGTGCTATTTACATCTTATTGCCATTAGGATTCCCCTGCGGTCCACTGCCGTTCGCCTCCCTTCAATCTCATGCGCCTTTCCGCACTACTTCAACGATCAGGATTAATATGATGAAACTTTTTTTAAGCATAAACGGTCTAAGATATATCCGCATAGACAATTAATTGCGGAATCTCGTACTTTATTTCTGTATAGTGTGTGGTCGGATGACTCGGATCCGGCCTTCACTTTTCTCCAGTCGCTTCTCGTGTGGCTACCTCCGGAAAACGGCCTAAGATTTATAAATATTACAGTTGTGCCACTCATCAAGGCTATGAAAGTCGGCAATGGGGCATTTTGGATTTAAATAATATATTAATAATAAAATAAATATTCTTTAAAATCATGAAAATATAAAGGGAGATTTACATACATACCACTTAATACTATGCTATTTACATATTTAACACCTAAAACTTTAATATTACATACATACCACCCATAGTTCATTTTCATACCAAATATGAGTGGTAGAAATGAAATATATGAGTGGTAGGAAAGAAATGTAAGTGGTATATTTGATATTAAAATAATATAGGGTGGTATTCATGTAATATTAAAGTTTTAGGTGTTAGATATGTAAATAGGATGTTATAAAGTGGTATGTACGTAAATTTCCCAAATATAAATTATGTAAGATAGACCAAATAATTAAGCATAATGACACAACATTTTCAATTACTTTCTCTTATTTATCTTTAGCTAATAGTTCCATAAAAATATTATTTCTATTTTAAATTTATGATGTCCACTAAATTTGATTTAAATATTATTTCTATTAGTTCATAATAAAAAATGTTTTATATAATATCTATGTGCTTAGTTTAGAGCTTTTAATAAATTTTTTTTCTAAGATAATTATGTCGGTGTTAGCACACACAGGATTTGATTAGGGCAACTGTAGCATTTTGTAAATATGATTATAAAATAATTATAGAAGGAGTAATTTTTTTTAAGTTAAAAATTGTAACTCCACTTGTCTACGGACTGCCACACTCTATAATTTATATTTGAAGAATTATATCTGTATTTTATTTTGATCATGTAATTATAACTTGTCATTAAACTATAGAAATAAACATTATTACATTTTTATTCATTTTAATAAGAACTTATCAAAAAAATCAAGAAAATATTAGGGGTACCTCTTATCAAATTTTTTTAATTTTTGAACTAAAAATCTACTTTAAGAAGCGGTAAGACAGCCGTCCCAAACGAAACCTTAGTCAAAACCTAAGAGCTTCCTTTCATGGAGGTTTTGGGTTTTGGTTTGGTGATTATATAGAACCCTTGGAATAAAAAAACGCCCAAAAGAATTGATCTAATTTGTCTACATGTGATATGGATTACTTCATTTTTTTTTTTAGAATTTTTAAGATGTTCTAATGGGGATTGGAATAAGATTAAATCATAGTTTGAGACAACTTTCTTACTGTTTTCTAAAACAGTTTTTTAGTACAAAATTTTCTAGTTCAAAAAATTTTTATACTAAAAAACAACTTTAAAAAAATATTAAGAAAGCTGTCCCAAACAAAACCTAAGTTTTGTGGAAACCCCTTTTTAACCCTAAGTTAGATTTTTTGCTTCAGTGGGAGAGTTTAGGATTCTGATCAAAGGATAAAAATACTTAAGGTTGATATATAACTATATCTAGATTAATTATGAAATTTGACACATTTTTTTATAATAATAACTATAACGCCACTAGATAAACTCTATAAATAGGCCCTCAATTCACCCTTGAAGAGGACCTTGAGTGGAGAGAGTTCTCTAAATTAAATCAATTTAAAACTCTATTGAGCAATCAACAACAATCATCAACTAACCACCATTGCCTAACAACTTTTTACTTTCATCAACTAACATCGACATTCACATTGACCTAATAATCATCACTTTTCATCAACTAATGACAAACATCATCAAATAAGAACAAATTCACTTCTTCTTCTTTTAAACAGGGTATCCACACGTTGCCACACCAAAAAGGTGCTTGGCAGCGTGACTAATTCTCGGCTGACTAAGAAGAGACACCCACCCCAGAAACTTCCAGGCCCGCACTTCATTAGGCCCCACTTAAAAAGCGTTGCCGCTCAAGAGGAATCGAGCACTTGTTATCATTTCACCAATATTTTCATTGCTCATATGAGCTCTATAATCTCATCTTCAAATTGCTATTAACCATTTGACAAATCCATGTTTACTATTTCTTAATGATATGAGAGAAATTGGTATCTTTAAGGGTATGATGATAATTAACTAAGAAAGGATTAGGGAGAGCAATGATGGCAATCATTAGCCTTCCTTTGGGGACAATTGCAAAGAATCTCTATCCACTCATGACTAATTATTCTTTCTACTTTGTCTTTTGAGGACTTTCAATGGCTATCACTTATGAACCTTTTGAATTTTAGAATATCTATAATTGATTGCTTGAAAATGATGCTCAGCCAAACTAATATGTTTTTTTTTTTTTTTATTTATAAAAAAATTAAATAAATTTTATTGTTATATGAGTATTATTTATATATATAATTTTGGCCATCAAAAATTATATCTGATTTAAAATTTAATATGGTATATTTAAAAATTTTAAATATATTTTAAAATAAATATAAGATAAAGTTTGATTAATAATTTAGATGAAAAATAATAAATTATGGTCAGGTGTATTATTTATGTGCTGTATTTGGTAAATATGCTTAGCAAAGATAATTTGGATTGCTGGTGACACCCCTAACCCTACTAGCTATGTGCGGCAAAAGATCTGTAACAGGACGACAGAGATTATCATACCACGGTGATTGTCCTTGGCTTTCATATAGGTCGTGGAGGGTTGTTCTCTTTGTCGTGGATCCATTTCCATCTTGAGAACACTTCACACTGCTTTACACAAGAACAAGTTATCGATCGGAAGAAAAAACTTAACTAATCTCGGAGTGAAAACAATGCAATACCCAAATTAACGGGAAGAAGAAGCAAAGTAAAACCCAATCAACAAAATCAAATAGGACGACCTCAATATGCATATAACATGCAACTCTGACTAGTGGAATACTTTCTAGCAAAGAATGGAGATATACATAGCCCTTACTTTTGTAATAACATAATTTTTGTCGAGCCTTAAAGGTAAATTTTATAGAACATCAGTTAGCTTAGCTGCAAAAAATGAGAATGTTAGAAAAAGATTAAGAATGCTAAGATGTATATATGGCATATCTTGGTATAAAATAAAATGGTTTAGCCAAAATTAATTTGGATTGAAGTCAAGCAAAAACATTCGTGCACAATAGTTTTAGACCTCCTGTAGCACTCAACAAGAATAAATAGAGGATTTATAAAGCCAACCCAAATATCCAACAAAGAACTATTGATGACGATCATGTTGATGATGAATTACTTTTTCATTCACACATTTCCAATTTATAGAAGTAAAGAAATTTCCAAACATTTTTCAATAACAAAGTTATCACTAAAGGAATCTTCCAGCTTCAAGGTATTGCATTAATTGGGTATCAAGATCCATAATTAGCTTAAGGATCCTTTACCTTAGCCATGAAATGGTACTAACATGCTCCAAATATTAGCATAAGGAGACAAAATACTGAAATTTGGCATCTTCTTGTCAAGACAGAGTCGTCGGGTTCATTACTAGAATGGTAAGAAAAGCAACAATCATAGTAACTGGTTCCCTCAAAAAGTACACATAACTAACTTACCATCGATCACATATTGTTTGTCCCTTCAAACCTTTCAAACCGTCTCCAACACACAGCAGCAACACAGTGCAGCACAACTACAAGAACAAAACACAGCAGCTACAAGTTAGAATAAAGCTGTTTTACAAGTCTTCAAGCTTTATAGTAGGTTTCAAAGGGCTATTAATGGCCAAAAAATCTTAATATGCTTACCATCCTTTCCAGAAACCATCATCATCGCCGCGACTCTTGGTCTTGGCTGGAACCTGCTGAGGGTAAGCAACAGTGTCATTTGTATAGGGAAATTTGTAGCAGGAAGCAAAAGAAATCAGTCTTCTTGTTATAGGGAAATATTTAATAATATGAAAAGTCCAAACTTACAACATATAAGAAAAAATCAAGGAATAGGGAGATTTACAATACAAAATAATTATTTTGGGATTTGAATCATAAACAAGTGTGTCTTAGTCTAAGATTTTCTTGATTGATGATAATTAAAATCTTCCTACTAATAACATATATTATGAGTTCTTCTAACCAAATGTGCCTAACGGTGTAAGATTTTCTTGCTTGAAGATAACTAAAATCTTCCTACTAATAAGAAAAAATTAACCATATATTATCAGTTCTTCTAACGATCACAGCCTTTAGATTCCAATGGCCATTTTATCTAACAATTATAACATGATCAAGATTACTATTTTTCTTCTTAGCAAAGCACTTAAATAATGATCATTGCAGAGGAGAAGATTGAGGGAGAACTTGTAACTAAAGAAAGAGGGAGGAGAAAGTGCTATATATGATATTGAGCTGAATACAAGCAATATCATCGCATTCCCATATTACCAATGGATGGAGCTGAAGCAGCGCTCACCAGATCTCATTCCATGTTAATAGGCAAATTTCACACGAAAATAAGCTACAAAAAGAAAATCTTTAAAACACCCGGCCAACTAGTCATACTATCACGAAGTAGAAGCTGATTAGAATAAAAAAGCCATAAGTAGATGAATGGGAAGAAGAAGAAGAGGAAGAAGAAGAGGAAGAAGCAGAGGAGAGTCACAATGAAGCCAGTCAGATGTGTCGTCGCGTGTGAGGAGAATACCGAGCAAATGCGAACGGGGGAGAAGAGGGATCGAAGACGAAGCCTCGAATGGTCCGCTTGAGTCACGCGCAGGAAGGAGAAGAGGCCAGGCTCCGGAGACGATTCGCGAAATTTAGTTTGCGCGCTGGGAATTAGGGCTTCAGCGGGGGTT